CCAATCTATGTCAAGCTGCAAATGGTTTTGCTTTTTAAAATCCTTTTGTTATCACTTTGGCTAAGTGAATGACTTATTTTATGGTAACCTGTGATCCTATTTTGGTAAAGTTTTTTTTTTTTTTTTTTTGAGACAGTCTCGCTCAGGTGCCAGGCTGGAGTGAAGTCACGTGATCTCGGCTCACTGCAACCTCCGCCTCCTGGGTTCAAGCAATTCTCTTGCCTCAGCCTCCCAAGTATCTGGGACTACAGGTGCGCGCCACCATGCCCAGCTAATTTTGTATTTAAGTAGAGATGGGGTTTCACCATGTTGGCCAGGCTGGTCTCAAACTCCTGACCTCGTGATCTACCCGCCTCGACCTCCCAAAGTGCTGGGATTAGAGGCGTGAGCCACCGTGCCCGGCTGGCTAATTTTTTTTTTTATTATTATTAGTAGAGATGGGGTTTCACTGTGTTAGCCAGGAAGGTCTGGATCTCTTGACCTTGTGATCTGCCCACCTCGGCCTCCCAGAGTGCTGGGATTACAGGCGTGAGCCACCACACCTGGCCACAATTTCTTTTTTTCTTTTCTTTTCTTTTTTTTTTTTTTTTTTTGAGACAGAGTTTCACTCTTGTTACCCAGGCTGGAGTGCAATGGCGCGATCTTGGCTCACTGCAACCTCTGCTTACCTGGTTCAAGCGATTCTCCTGCCTCAGCCTCCTGAGTAGCTGGGACTACAGGTGCGTGTCACCACGCCTGGCTAATTTGTTGTAGTTTTAGTAGAGATGGATTTCACCATGTTAGCCAGGATGGTCTAGATCTCCTGTCATTGTGATCTGCCCACCTTCACCTCCCAAAGTGCTGGGTTTACAGGAATACGCCATCGATCTCGGCCTATAATTTCTAAAAATCTAATATACCTGAGTATATGCTATTAGTCATAATTATGGTTATTAATATAAAGTATTGTAGGCCACGAGTATAATTAACTTCTTTTCATTTGTCTTTTTATAACCATTTCAAGTTATTTCTACAGTTACTAGTTTAATTCTGATATAGTTTCAGGAGAGAGCAGGAGTTTGAGACCAGCCTGATCAACATGGAGAAACCCTGTCTCTACTAAAAATACAAAATTAGTCAAGCGTGGTGGTGCATACCTGTAATCTCAGCTACTCGGGAGGCTGAAGCAGAATAGCTTGAACCCAGGAGGCGGAGGCGGCAGTGAGCCGAGATCGTGCCATTGCACTCCAGCCTGGGTGACAAGAGCAAAACTCTGTCTTAAAAAAAAAAAGAAAAAGGAGCCCCGCGTCCCAGAGCCCCTCGGCCTAGGGCAGGGACCCCGCCGCGGCCAGGACCGCCCGGTCTGGCCCCCGCCCGCGCCTCCCCATGCTGCCCGGCGCCCCGCGCCGCGCCCTCCCCACGCCCGTGCCCATGTGGCCAGACCGGGCAGCCAGAAAAATCATTTTTTTTTCTCTGGGAGGGTGAACATTTATAGCATTGATTTCCCGGATCTGGTAACATGGCAAAAGATGCCGGTCTAATTGAAGCCAACGGAGAACTCAAAGTCTTCATAGACCAGAACCTTAGTCCCGGAAAAGGTGTGGTGTCTCTCGTGGCCGTTCACCCTCCACCGTCAACCCGCTTGGGCAGCAGCTCTTGCCAAAAACCTTTGGACAGTCCAGTGTCAACATTGCCCCGCAAGTGGTAATTGGTACACCTCAGAGACCAGCAGCATCAAACACCCTTGTGGTAGGAAGCCCACACACCCCCAGCACTCACTTTGCCTCCCAGAACCAGCCTTCCGACTCCTCACCTTGGCCTGCCGGGAAGTGCAACAGGAAAGGAGAGAAGAATGGCAAGGGCCTGCGGCATTTCTCCATGAAAGTCTGCGAGAAGGTGCAGAGGAAAGGGGCCACTTCCTATAACGAAGTGGCGGACGAGCTGGTTGCGGAGTTCAGCGTTGCCAACAACCACATCTTACCAAACGAGTCAGCTTATGACCAGAAGAACCTAAGACGGCGTGTCTACGATGCCTTAAACGTGCTGATGGCCATGAACATCATCTCCAAGGAGAAGAAGGAGATCAAGTGGATTGGTCTGCCCACCAACTCGGCTCAGGAATGTCAGAACTTAAAGGTGGAAAGACAGAGGAGACTTGAAAGAATAAAACAGAAACAGTCTCAACTTCAAGAACTTATTCTACAGCAAACTGCGTTCAAGAACCTGGTTCAGAGAAACCGGCACACGGAGCAGCAGGCCAGCCGACTGCCGCTGCCCAACTCGGTCATCCGCCTGCCCTTCATCATCGTCAACACCAGCAAGAAGACTGTCATCGACTGTAGCATCTCCAACGACAAATTCGAGTATCTGTTTAATTTTGATAACACATTTGAAATCCACGATGACATAGAAGTGCTAAAGCGGATGGGCATGGCATGCGGGCTGCAGCCCGGGAGCTGCTCTGCGGAAGACCTTAAAATGGCCAGAAGTTTGGTCCCAAAGGCTCTGGAGCCGTACATGACAGAAATGGCTCAGGGAACTGTTGGAGGCGTGTTCATCACGACGGCAGGTTCCACGTCTAACGGCACGAGGTTCTCCGCCAGTGACCTGACCAACGGTGCAGATGGGATGCTGGCCACAAGCTCCAACGGGTCTCAGTACAGTGGCTCCAGGGTGGAGACCCCAGTGTCCTACGTCGGGGAAGACGACGAGGACGATGATGACTTCAATGAGAATGACGAGGATGACTGACATCCTCCCCACTTCAAATTCAGCTTCAGGAAAACATTTAGGGAAAAGAAACCTTTTTTTTTTTTTTTTTAATGTGGGTTTTCTGTTTCCTTTTGGCCTACTCCCAAGAAGATATTGGTAAGCTATTGAATTTAGATATGTACCTCTGATAAGCAAGGATTGTTTCCGGTAGGATTAGGACGTGCTGTGGATGTGTGTTTTGATACCAGTGTGCTGATGCAGAGCATTTATTTTACTTTTTAGGATTTTGTGTTTTCATTTTTCTGGTTTTCTCTAAG